AACATAAATTATATATATTTTCCAGGGACTTGGATTGTGCAGCAATCTAGGAGTTAACTTGAATTTGTGCAGCTATCTAGGAGTTAATCAATTAAAAATTGACAATGTAATGCAACATTATCCTTCAGTTTTTAGACTATCGGGACATAGGACTTTTTCTTTTCTCCCATCAAATTAAGTGGGGTTAAAGAGGAAATAAAGATACCAATAATTTTGAAGAATAGCAAATCATAGTCCCTATGTGGTCCTTCAGTTGGTCACGCTCCAGGAAAACCTCAGGCAAAGTGTTTAAGGCTGGGAGGGGGTGGGAAGGGTGGGTAGCGGACATAAAAGACATTGTTCTATGAAAAGGGATGATTACATATGGCCCATACATACAGGATATTGTCTCGCCTGGTAATGAGGAGCTCACGACCATTAGATTGGCCTTTGTTCAGTTTATCCAAACTCCTTGACATACGCCACCTATTCTGCAAACGCCAACAGATGGGCCCAGGCACAGCATAGCCTCAACACTTGATTTAAAGCAACAGCTGCTCTCTGCTCTGTGTATTCCCTGGCCAGTCTGCCTGAGCTCTGCTCTCCCAACGAAGATTTGCGTCGATGGCCCAGAGAAAGTCTTCGTTGGAAAGGCCCAGATCACCCTTGCTGGCCTCTAAGCAGTTCCAGAGGGTGAAGATGGTGACAAAGTTGGCCATTTGCGGGCTTCTCGGGGTCCTTGCTATAGTGAGGCTACCGAACAATTATTTGCGGAGACCCAGAATACTGCTTCTCCTCATACCACTAGTCAAAACCCGGGGTTTGCCTTGGGTGCGCTGACGCTTTCTTTCTTTCTTGTTCGCCTCTCACCGGGTCGCTTTTCTATTCTTTCTCGCCCAGGGGAGGAGCGCTACATTTGCTGGTACTGCTGGAGGACGTTTAGATACCCCAACAGCCTTAAGGCACACCTACGTTTCCACTGCGTGCTCAGCAGCGCCGCAGGCCGCGCCTACCTGCACCACGAGCACGCGTCTCGCCAAGGCGCTGCTCAGGCCACGGATGGCCTTCGTCTCTCTCCTAAACCGCCGGTGTCCGACTTCGCCTCCGCCTCCCCGGTGGGCACTCTGCGGCCCCACCCGCAGGCCCCACTACCTGTCCAGGCCTGTGGAGCGAGAGAGAGCATCAAGCGCGAGGCCTCCTCTGCGCCCTCGGCCACCTCGCCGACCCCCGCCAAGTGGGGGCTGTCCAAGAGGAGCAAGGAGCAGCCAGACCGCGCCCTGGACATGGGCGGGGCCGCCAGGGGACACGGCCACATTCTGGGCATCGTGGGCGGCTCCCCAGCTGGGGGCGGCGGTCTGGCCTTCTACCCCGGCGTGCGCTCGGCTTTCAAGCCCGCCAGCTTGGCCAGGACTGCCGCGACAGCGCTTGGCGACGCCTACCGGGAGGAGGGCGGTGGCAAATCGGGTGCCGGCCTGCTGGGCGGAGGTCGGGCGGGAGGGCGCCCCGGAAGCAGGGAGAACCCGGCAGCGGGCGGTGCAGGCCACCATCATCACCACCACACTCACCACCACCACCACCACCCAAAGTGCCTGCTCGCGGGGGACCCGCCGCTGCCGCCTCCCCCTGGTTTGCCCTGCTCCGGGACTCTGCGTGGCTTCCCTCTGCTCCCCGGCCCCCCTCAAGAGGCTTCCGCCTTCAAGCACGTGGAGCGCGCCCCGCCCGCCGCCGCCGCCGCGCTGCCGGGAGCGCGTTACTCGCAGCTGCCTCCGGCGACTGGGCTGCACCTTGAGCGCTGCGCGCTGCCAGCCCTCGACGCGAGCGGGCTCAAAGCCTACCCCGGTAGCGAGTGCAGTCACCTGCCCGCCGTCATGCCGGCCTTTACTGTCTACAACGGGGAGCTACTGTACGGCTCACCGGCCGCCGCCGCTTATTACCCGCTCAAACTGCACTTGGGTGGACTGCTCAAGTATCCAGAGTCTATCTCCTACTTCAGCGGGCCTGCAGCGGCGGCGGCGGCCACGCTAAGCCCCGCCGAGCTAGGCTCCCTGGCCAGCATCGACCGGGAGATTGCCATGCACACGCACCAGCTCTCCGAGATGGCAGCTGGGAAAGGCCGCGGCCGCCTGGACGCAGGGACGCTGGCACCCGCGGTTGTGGCGTCGGGTGGCTCAGGCGGTGGCGGCAGCGGGGGCGGAGGCGCGGGCAAGCCAAAGACTGGCCACCTGTGCCTCTACTGCGGCAAGCTGTACTCGCGCAAGTACGGGCTCAAGATCCACATGCGGACGCACACCGGCTATAAGCCGCTCAAATGCAAAGTGTGCCTGCGGCCCTTTGGCGACCCCAGCAATCTCAATAAGCACATACGACTGCACGCGGAAGGCAACACGCCCTACCGCTGCGAGTTCTGCGGCAAGGTGCTGGTGCGCCGTCGAGACCTGGAGCGCCACGTCAAGTCCCGCCACCCCGGCCAGAACCTGCTTGCCAAGGCGGGCGAAGGTCCCGGCGCAGAGCCTGACTACCCCCTGGAGCCTGGGGAATCCAAGAGCGACAACGACAGCGACGTGGACGTCTGCTTCACGGATGACCAGAGCGACCCAGAGGCCGGGGGTGGCGGAGAACGTGTCTCCTAACCAGTCTTCCTGGGAAAAGGGTGTGTGTGTGGGTTCTGTTTTGGGAAAAGAGAGGCTCCTGGTGGTGAGAAGGACCCAGTTGACAAAGTCGTTTTTATTTTGTTAAAGGGCAAGATTTTGGGACAGTGAAGGGTCCTAGGTTCGATGCTGGACCTCAGAGCAAAGGTTTAGAGGTAGCTTAAAGAAACCTAGCCTCCTGGGCAGACTGCGGGGCTGGGTCTCGGCGCGCTCCAGGCCTCTGGACGCTGTGGATTGGCTTCCCCCAGGCTAATTGCTCTCGAGGTTTAGGATCACATTACTGTGAACATCACAGCGCCCTTAAGGGCGCTGATTTTAACTGCCCCGTATTTTAAAATCGTTCTTTTCTGTGGAGGAAATTGTGCCTTTTGAAACGATGTTTTGTGTGTATATTTTACATTAGCATTTCACTGCTTAGGCAAAACAGTAGTACCAATTGGGTAGATGTGGCATCCATACACTTGTTTCTATTTCATCTGTTCCCTTGTCAAAGACTACGCCTTGCCACATTGAATATATAGTGGTAGCAGGTGTACAAATTGGTCAAGTTGCAATTATTTATGAGAATAATAACAAATGTAAAATACTAAAGCATGAATTTAAGAGCACGCAATGTATAATTTTAAAAGAAAATGTCCTATTTGGTAGAGTACAAATGTGATGTATGTTGTTTTATAATGAATGATTTACAGTGGATTCAGTATTTTGGTCTTGGTTCCAGTTTGTGCAATCTTTAATAAAAATAAAGATACAAACCAGAGTTGTTCACCTAACGATTTCAGCAGATTCTTTAAAGAAATAGTTTAATTTGAAAATGATTTTCGAGGAGATGCCATAATAAAATCGTAGAACACTCGAGTATTTTGGTTATTCATAAAATAAATGTTAAGTAGTGTTGTAATCGGAAAATATACCACTTTCAATATGTGAATTTCATAGGCTCTCAGATAGCAAGCAGGAAAATTGTTTTCTGAAACCCTTGTTTAATCATGCTAAGCATCTTTGTGTTTACAGAAAGAAGCTAATGACCTTCATGAAACACACACATTTGTCAAAAAGAATTATGGAACTGTAGAATCATTATTTCTTGTTACGTACCATTTTGACAGAACTTCCTTTGGGAAGAAAAAAATAAAAATAAAAAGGAAACTTGCTCAGTACCTTTTTGATTCACACACTTTAATATTCACACCACAAATATTAATCGAGGAGGATCTATTTTTATTGGAGGTGCTAATCTATTTGCTCTATGTAGGTTTCTTTTTTCCCATGTACTCCTTCCATCTTGTGCTGTGGTACAGGTCCTATTTTTACAGAATCAAAAATAGACTCTTCAAGGTCTTTGGGAGGCCCATAGTAAGAACAGCAAAGGTAGAAGCAGTGACTTTATTGAAGGGTATAAAAATTAATGCCAGCTAACGGAAGGATACCCATTAAATAATTTTGTGGATTAAAATTGGAAAGTACTCTTTAACCTTTCTCCCCTGACTTACCCCCTCCCCACCACCACCACACACACTCTGGGGAGGATTACTCAGCAGTTATATAGGAAGTGGAGGATTTGCCATCCCCTCAACTAAGGGCAGGTACCCTAAGAGCCCAGTCTGCAGTGCTCTTCCCAGAGGATGGTAGGAAGATTCTAATAAGTCATGAAAGGTTCTGGATATGCTCCCTGGTGATTTAAGTCAGTTAAAAATGCCTTTTATTTTTGGGATCTTGAGTAGTGCAGCAGTCTTCACCCTGCTGTCTCCCAGTTGGGAACATGGACTCAGTCATCAGGTGTCTGGCAGGGATTTTTTTCCGACTCATCACAGCAGGAGGCATGGTTGGGGAGGTGATATCTGACTTAGTGGTGATCAGTAAAATGATTTCCTGTGTGACAAAACTTTTGCTGCAAATTATAGTTTTTTTTCTTTTTTTTAGTGTCAACTGACCTTTTGCTTTGTAAAGGGAAGCCTAAAGAGAAACAAAATAGAACAAAAAAATGTGTGGATTAATATGTACTATGGTGATAATAATACTACATTTATTGAGGACCTATTTTGTTCCAGATCTGTAATGCTATTTGCAATTCTTTCTTCTCCACAGATAATGACTGTGCACTTGCCCCACCAAATTTAGTGATGGCCCTGCCGCACAGAACTGGAAGTGAACCCAAGCATCTGCTTGTGCAGCCTGGGCTCCAGGGGCCCAGGGCTTCTCACCACCTGCTTAGTAGTACGCGGCCATGCCCTTTGAAGCAATTATTACTTAAAACCAAATCTACTCTTATAGAGAAATATTGGAAAACTTTTCTGAAGTTGAATCATGTAAGTCATCAGGGAAAGTAGGAAGGGCTGCCCAAATTTGAAACACAGGAAAAGTGTTTTTTTTTTTTTTTTTTAAGTCTTCATGAGTTTGTGTGTCATCCTGCGTAGAGGCCATGCTCATCTTCTCTGTATTGTTCCGACTTTAGTATATGTGCTGCTAAAGTGAGCACAGGAAAAGTTTTTATCAGCTATAAAGATCATGTTTTCTTCTTCCATTTCCTAGCTCAGCACTAAGTCCTATAACTCTTGTGTGAAAATAGACTTAAAATAATAAATTAAAAATAGTTTGATGAAAGGAAATACATGTAGGTTGATAAAGATTTAATAGAACAAAAACAATGCCCCTAGCCTTTTGTTTTCCCCTTTGTAAATTGATATTTGTATGTTATAAAAAAAATGAAAACTGAACATAGATTTAAAAGGCTCTTAATCACAACTCACTTTTAATTCTCCATAGATTGTCAGATAACCTATATATATGTCCATGGATGTGCACTCATACATAATTAATGCACTTATTTATTTCAATGGAAAAGTCAAATCAGTGATACACAATCACTGACAATATTATTTATTTCTGATGGCTCAGTTAAATTAGTGTTTCCCAGATTATTTCCTTCAATCTCCTATCCCTTTTTCTCCACTTGTACCCCCAACCCTCTCAATTCTTCTTATCCTTTCGACCACAAGTAACTCTGAAGATTATGCTAGAGCCACTGGCAATTTCTGAGATTTTAACTGAATATTTTGTACCAAAAGATATTTTTTAAAAAGGAGTTTTCATGCCTTTTAGAAGTGAAAGACGCTAGATTAATTGGGCCTAGATAATTTGGATATTAAAAAAATCAGACAGAGGTGAGTTATAGACTGGCCTCCACAACACTCGCTTGACATCTTGAGCCAATCTATTGCTTCAATGCTCTCATCTGTAAAACAGGTGGAAATAGACAACAAGGTAGTTGTGAAGATTAAATGAGTCAATGCAGGTAAACTGCTTAGAATCAAGTCTGACGCACATTAAGCTCTCAAACAATTCAGGGAGAGTAGATGTCATGAGAGAGAAAAAGGGAGAGGGAAGGAAGAGAAAGAGAGAGAGAGCAGAGATTGAAAGATTCCTAAAGAGAAAAGGATTATAAAATGAAGAGGAGGGAGGAGAGACAGAGAGAGAGAGAGGAAGGGATGAGAAATGGGGGAAGAGAAGTGAGTTTATGCGAAGTGGCTGGTGTGTGTGTGGAGGGGGCCAGCTCTATGGCTCCCCTCCTCCCTCTTTATTTTTTTAAATTTATTTTTTAACATGTTTTTATTGGATTTTTAGATAGAGAGGAAGGGAGAGGGAGAGAGATAGAAATGTCCATGGGAGAGAAACATTGTTCGGCTGCCTCCTGCTCCTCCCACTGGGGATTGAGCCAGAAAACCCGGGCATATGCCCTGACCAGGAATTGAACCTGCCACCTCTTGGTGCATGAGACTACGCTCGTTCTACTAAGCTACAGCTGGGCTCCTCCTCCCTATTTAAACCACTCTGAGGTGTCCGCCTGCGGTCCGGAGAGGCCCGGGATCGGTTCCCGCTGGGGGCATGTGCCTCGGTTGCAGTTTGTCCCCGGCCCTGGTTGGTCGTGCGGGTGGCAGCCACTCGGTGTGTCCCTTTCGCATCATGTTTCTCTCTCTCTCTCTTCCTCTTTCTCCCTCCCACTCTGTCTGTACAAAAAATGGAAAAGTGTCCTCGGATGAGGATTAAAAAATAAAAAAATTAAAAAAAATAAACCACTCTGAGTTAGCAGTAAATTCAACACTTGGTATGGTCCAGCCTTTTCTTTAAACATCCAAACAAATTTTTTAAAAAATTATAATCCATTATAATCGTATGGGCCCAGAGTCCATACTCTAAATGCACTCTGTCTATCACTGACCATTTTATGCCTGCATAACGCTAGCCTCCCTGGCTGAGGGTAGCTCAGTTGGTGAGAAAGTTGTCCCGTTACTCCGAAGTTGTGGATTGGATCTCCATCAGGGTACATACAAAAAACATGCAATGAATGCATAAATAAGTGGAAAAACAAATCGACCCCCCAATAAAAAAAATAACTCTAGCAATTCTCTGTGATTTCATTTTGAAGATGTCAGGGAACGAGATAAAGGTTGCCTCCCTTTTATATAAGCATTAGCATCTTTTATCAAGGGCACTCACTCTCCCCTTGGTTCACTTCTAGTCCAGGGTAGACACCTACCAATTCCAGGACATAAAGCCCTTTCACACTTTTGCTAAAGAGAAACTTTTTCAGACCCCCAATCAGGACATCTTTCTATTTTGAGCTCAAACACGGATTCAAATAGCGGTTAAGAGAACCGGAAGAAGAATGCGCTTCATCCGTTTTCACTAATTTTTGAAGTGCTCGGCCGCGCGGTGAGTGAAGCGTTTCAGAAGAACGCAGTGGAGGTGAGCGCCTGCCCATCTCCTCTCCTGAGCCTGGCAGGGAGCGGAGCGTATGGCAAGTGCTGCAATTCCTCAAGGCTCTATTCCCGAGTCTAGACTCCAAGGCAAGGAGGGGCGCGGCGGCTGGACTCCAGGTTAAAATTGCCGCTCAGGAGCCTCGGCGGTGCGGGTGCCGGGGTTCCAGAGCGAGTGGGCGGTGGTTGGCCCCGCCTCTTTAATCCGAGCGATCTGATTGGCCCATCTTTTGGAGCCGGGTTTGCTATTGTCGGCGGACTGGCGGAGAGCGATGGTCTGGGCAGGCGTTGCCGCCTCGGAACCCCTAGACCTGTGGCGGTGTCGCCGCTTGAGCAGGTGCGTGTAGCGCTCTTGCTGCTCACCGTTTGGCTCTCCCTGGGAACAGGGGTTTTCCGGGGCAGGATTAGAGCACAAATTTGGGCATTTAGGCGTACAGTCCCGAGCCCTGGAAAGAAGGGAGACCCGGGAACCGCTCCCCTTTCACCCCGCCCCCTCCCCCACCCAGCAAGTACTTGTTTCAGCGCCTCTGCCCTGCTCTGGCGGGGAGCTGCGGCACCAGTGCAGCGCGCCCTCGCCATCTGCTGCTTCCCCAAAGGGAAGGGGGCAGAGGCACTGGCGCCATCGGGAGGTCAGACTTGACCCTTGGCCACCCAGGTGTGAGTTGTGAAGGGGAGTACTCAACAGACGGCGGGGGCTACCGTATTTAGTTCCAGAAGGAGCGTGGCGCTCGCTCTGGGCTGGGTGACCTTCCTACAAAAGATGAAAGGAGAGCTTCTGTCATCTGCGACTGTAGTTTAATTCAAATTATGTGTAGCTGGTTGTAGACAGACAACTTGTTAATGCCTTTGGCTTGCCAACCATCCGAGGTCCCTTCAAAAAGGGACCGAGATTGGGTGGACTGTATAAATGCGTGTGAACCCTTTGAAGACACTGATTTTATTTCAAGTACAATTTGTTTTCATTGTTTATATTTTAGCTTTTATGTAAGTAGATAAAAACTAAAGTGCAAATTAATAAAGATTATAAAAGTGATAGCATAGAGACAGATTTCTGGTAATCACAAACAGATACAGAAGACCATTTTTATGTAGAGTGAGGAACCTTTATTAAAAATATATTAGATATTCAAAAATCATGAGTATTTTGTACTTTTTTTCTATTCATATATGCTTTTCCATAATTCAGTATCATAGGAAATGGCTGCAAATACACATTTCCTATTCTTTAAATTTTTTTTTTTTGCATTTATCTTCAGATAGAGGGGAGGGAGAGAGGGAGGAAGAGAGAGATAGAAACATTGATGTGAGAGAGACACATCGACTGGTTGCCACCCACATGACCCCAACTGGGTCTGAGGACAAACTGCAACTGAGGTACCTGCCCTTAGCGGGAACCAAACCTGAGACTTTCTGGTCCACAGGCTGACACTCTAACCGCTGAGCCAAACCAGCCAGGGCCACATTTCCTATTCTTAATATTGGCAGTACATTAATAATATTCCTGGAAGTTACTCTAAGAAGAGAATGACTTAAATTCCATTGTTCCATGGCAAATTGTATTTGAATGGGAGACATTCAATTCTAGTGATTTGTGAAAGCCTTATGTGAAAATGTCTTATGTGCCTTGGTCAGTTTGGCTTAGTGGTTAGAGTGTTGGCCTGTGGTCCGATGACTCGCTGGTTCCATTCTAGTCAAGGGCATGTGCCTTGGTTGCGGTTCCAACCTGGCTCTGGTCAGGATCGTGTGGGAGGGAACCAGTTGATGTGTCCCTCTCATGTCAATGGATATCTCTCTTTCTTTCCCTCTCTCCCACTCTATCTGAAGATAAATAGAAAAATATACTTGGGTGAGGATTAAAAAAGAAAAAGAAAAAAAAGTCTTATGTGACAGGAGATATGGTGATGAGAGATGCAAAAGCAGATGGCTTTGCATAAGAAGCCATAGTGAAGGTCAAAGATAGTTTTTAATTTTTTTTTTTTAAATCCCTGACAACCTGCAGAAAGACAAGCTTTTATACTTGACACTGAGCAGTTGATTCCTGAATTATCACCTTAAGGTAAATGGAGACATGACCAGGTCTGGTTTAAGCTCACTTGAGAGCATTGGACCATAGCAGAACACATCTGTGAGCAACAGAATGCTTTCAGGTATGCTAAAAGTCAGTTCAATGAGAAATGAGTCAATGTAGGATGTCACATATTATAAGCCTATTTGTGATTTTCAGAAAGTTGGGGAAAGAAATGCCTTAGCAACCAAGAAGATGTAGAGAAAAGAAAATACATTAGGACACACACACACACACACAATGTGTGTGTGTGTGTATATATATATATATATATATATACACACACATATATATACACATACATGCATACATATATATTTTTTGGATTATTTAAAATTGATGTGCTGAAATGTGGTCTCAGAGTATTGGCTTTGCCATTTATAGGTGTTTGTACATATATTGTGTCCTATGTTGTTTCCAAAATCAATTTATTATTGTCTTTAATTGGTAGTTTTGGACTTCATGATATTCATATTGGTCAATATTCTCCTCATGAAGTGAGATAAAATAGCTTTACCTTGAGGTTTCCTTGACAGCACTCATTTCATTAAATTTCCATTATGTATTTAATTTTTCTTTTTTATTAATTAATTTATTTTTGTTACAGAAGTTTCTCCCTTTTCCCCCATTGACACCTTCCTCCTGTTCCCACCCCCC